TCGCTAGTCGTAGGGAAATGCTTGGTATAATATTTCTTGTAAAACTCATCAATGTCTCAGTCTGTAGCCCATCTCTCTTGTCTGATATTAATTTTAACATTCCCGCTCGCTCTACCAGGCAGTTTAGACCTTTACTTTTAAAATTTTCTCGAACAAATTTCGAGTTAAACGAACCATTCCGCCGTATATGTCACGATTTCAGTTCTCATTCCAGCACATTTGATCTAACAGATTCACTCTTTACCATTAAAAAAATTATTTTATCTACTCTTAACAAGTAACATTTAAAAATTATAAACTTTAATCTAATTCTTAATTTTAGCTGTTGCAATTTTTGTTTCTGTAGCTGAGCAGCTTAAGATCGCAACGCTTAAAACCCCCTTGCTTTTTATGACTCGGCTAATTCCGCTCGTTCGCGGATTGCGCCCCTCGCATCGGTTGGGCGGGAGGAGAGTAATCGCTGGGTATTATTATAACATGTTAAATCAAAAGGTTTTCCATACAAGGACTAAATTTTGGATAAGCTTCATGGGTCTGAACCTGATTTCTTCGGAAACTATACTTTTATCTTGGACAATTATTTCGTGAAGTAATATTGTCAAATGAGGAAGCTTTCTATACAAGGACTGAATTTAAATCAAATGAGCTGTTTATTGGGGAGAAAAGTCCTTTCAGAGCGATATGTAAAAAACTGAGTTACTAGTAGTTCGCATATATACAGAGAGACGGACTTTGCTTGTTTGGCACAAAAAAATGTTTTACTAATATTTTTCCTAGCACTGTATGTAGACACATCTATATATGTATGTATACATACATATATGAAGGTCTGAGTAAATTTGAATTTGTATCAAAATGTATGAAAATTCTTTGGCTACACCGGTGTGTCCATGGGAATACGTCAATGCAACAGCGAGGTAGGCAACATTAATCTACATTTCCTCGTGGACATGAGTGTTGCCACATTTTTCCACATTTATACATACACATATACACAAATGAACTCATGTGCCCGTAAATTATTGAATTATGTTATCAAGCGTCCACATATTTACATAAAACACACACACATGCATACATACATACATACATACATATGCCCAATCATGGCTATACATATCGTTATATAAATATTTCTACGCACGTTCATTAAGTAAATAGAACCTTATTTGCTTTAAATGCCCGTGTGGGTACGAGAGATATTCTGCCGCGATAAGCCATGAAAATGCATAAGTACTTTTTTATTGTTTGTACGGATCTGCTTGTGTAATGGTAATACCTGCATATAAACACACATGCATACATATTTATTTATAAACGTGGAATTCTACGAAAACGAGCAGCTAATGTTTGGGAACAAGCGGAGAAAGGGGTAGGTCAACTAACTGAGAAAGTAAAATAAGTGATAAATTAAGTCAAATATTTGGTGTTCTTAAGTTTGCTTTCTGTGCATTTTTATAGTTATGCATACATACATCAAAACGTATGACAGTTGTTTAACAGTGCTCAAATATTTATTTGTCAAGATAAATGTTGGCATATTTTTCAACCAACCTATGCTTACTTTGATGATTAAGGCTTGTCGATATGCAGTGACACATTTGTTTATTTTAAAACATATACATATGTATTTTTAAAAATAACCGACTTGTTTTAAATTTAAAAATATTTTTGATAAAAACATGAAAAAACGTTGACCTTTAACAGAAAAAGGTATAAACAGATATTTTTCTTGATTGTCTTGAATCTGTGCCGAATTTCGGGAAGATACCTTGCCAAATAAAAAAGTTTCCCATACAAAGACTTGAGTTCGATCGGTCAGTTTGTATGGCAGCTATATGCTATAGTTGTCGGATCTGAAAAATTTCTTCAGAGATCTTAGCGATGCTTGAGAAAATAGTCTATGCTAAAGTTCGTGAAGATACCTTACCAAATAAAAACGTTTTTCATACAAGGGCTTGATTTGGATCGATCAGTTTGTATGGCAGCTATATGCTATAGTAGTCCGATCTGAA